GTAGTGAGGGCTGCTGTGAGGGTCTTGATTGTCATGTTATCCTGACTGACTGGCATCTGTTCTGTAAGTGAGGGCTGCTGTGAGGTCTTGATTGTCATGTTATCCTGACTGACTGGCATCTGTTCTGTAGTGAGGGTCTTGATGATTGTCATGTTATCCTGACTGACTGGCATCTGTTCTGTAGTGATTGTCATGGACTGACTGGCATCTGTTCTGTAGTGAGGGTCTTGATTGTCATGTTATCCTGACTGACTGGCATCTGTTCTGTAGTGAGGGCTGCTGCTGTGAGGGTCTTGATTGTCATGTTATCCTGACTGACTGGCATCTGTTCTGTAGTGAGGGCTGCTGTGAGGGTCTTGATTGTCATGTTATCCTGACTGACTGGCATCTGTTCTGTGCTGTGAGGGTCTTGATTGTCATGTTATCCTGACTGACTGGCATCTGTTCTGTAGTGAGGGGATTGTCTGCTGACTGACTGGGTGTAGTGAGGGCTCTTGATTGTCATGTTATCCTGACTGACTGGCATCTGTTCTGTAGTGAGGGCTGCTGCTGTGAGGGTCTTGATTGTCATGTTATCCTGACTGACTGGCATCTGTTCTGTAGTGAGGGCTGCTGCTGTGAGGGTCTTGATTGTCATGTTATCCTGACTGACTGGCATCTGTTCTGTAGTGAGGGCTGCTGCTGTGAGGGTCTTGATTGTCATGTTATCCTGACTGACTGGCATCTGTTCTGTAGTGAGGGCTGCTGCTGAGAGGGTCTTGATTGTCATGTTATCCTGACTGACTGGCATCTGTTCTGTAATGAGGGCTGCTCCTGTGAGGGTCTTGATTGTCATGTTATCCTGACTGACTGGCATCTGTTCTGTAGTGGGGGCTGCTGCTGTGAGGGTCTTGATTGTCATGTTATCCTGACTGACTGGCATCTGTTCTGTAGTGAGGGCTGCTGCTGCTGTGAGGGTCTTGATTGTCATGTTATCCTGACTGACTGGCATCTGTTCTGTAGATGAGGGCTGCTGCTGTGAGGGTCTTGATTGTCATGTTATCCTGACTGACTGGCATCTGTTCCAGTGAGGGCTGCTGCTGTGAGGGCTGCATGTTATCCTGACTGAGGGTCTTGATTGTCATGTTATCCTGACTGACTGGCATCTGTTCTGTAGTGAGGGCTGCTGTGAGGGTCTTGGATTGTCATGTTATCCTACAACTGACTGGTGAATTGTGGATTTTGGAGAGTATGCACTGTGCCCTGCAGTGATAGTGAGAATTTGTCCAAAAAGATTGTTGCCTATTTGCCCTCTGACTGAAAAATTGTCTTAACTCCAGATGTCTCACAACTATGTCAAATGGTGCCCTTGGTGGATGATTGAATTCTCTTTTGCATCCTTGACATTTCTTTATGCGACCATTTAAGGCGATTAATTCGAAATTATGCTCTGTGTGTCCAGCCAGCCCAGTATACCTTCCATGAGTGGTATCCACAGACATATTTTGTTCTCGTGTGCCTTTTCTTAGAAATAGAGATGACGTTCCTGATCTGTTGCCCTCGTATTCTACACCATCTACCTGGCACACACAGCACACAAAGGTCTCATTTTGCAGTGTTGTAAAGGTTTCTCTGCTGCCTGAGCATTCAATGTGATACCAGTACTTGCAGCTCTCACACTGCACCTGCAATACAAAATTATTATTCTATTTATTGTTTGCTTTGCCAATTCAGTTGTGTGGTTTTTTCTCATCAGTATAGTTTATGATGTATTACTTTTGTGATTCCACAAGTGACAAAAACTCATCATAAAAAATATTTTGTAGGTATAATTGTGCTATAACAGGTCATGAATCCTTACCCAATGTTGTACCCTTTTTTTGGTGCCTTGTGTTTTCGTTTTAGTGGCCGTCATACATGTTTGCATTGAGCAGCCTCTACAGATGTCTGCCATTGCATGTAAATCTGTAACAACATATTCAGATTTGTTAAGAAAATTATGCATTACTTTTAATTACTTATACCTTTTGCAAATCGTCATTGGTGTAACTTTGTTTTGGTAATCAGTACTTACCTGTTTTCTGCAGCAAATGTGTTGCTATTTGTATTCTTGTCTCAACTGTATCAAATGAGGTGCTCAGGTTCTCACCATCAAGCAGAAAGTCAACAAACTGAAATTTGAAATTATCATTTCATTAGTAGGAATATTGAGTAATATTTAGGGAGTTATATTAAACTATGGTAACTGGTTTTAACACATTTCCAATAATGATACATTTTGAATTCTTGTGCTGAAATATTGTTTATAATTTCTTTGTTGAAGGCAACTTTATCTGTTACCAATGTGTGTTAGATTTCAAAAATGTGTCCTACCTTCATCACATATATTCCACAGCTTGTGGAGTCTTGTTGTAACTGATGTTTTACTGTTGTCAGCTTCCATCTCTTCTGAAGAGTGTCCTTGTTGAGTAGCCCCATTGTACATCTGATTCTCAGTATTCTCCGCCAAGCTGACAAAACTGCCTCTTTACTCTGATGTGATGTGTCTTCACCCATTGGGTTTATATATACAATCTCATAATTTTTGGGGTATACCACAAACATTTGCCAGTGTTCTCCTGTGACATATGGTGCCAGTATCATCTCTTTTGAAAGAAGATCCACCTGTTCCAGAAAGAAATGCAGTCTTTTAAACAATATTCTTTGCTTTATTCTTTTTGAAAGGACACCTCTGCTCGTCATGCTGAAAACCTGGGTTCGATTTCCCACATGTTTTTTTTTTCATGTGTGAAACCTTTTTCTGGTGTCCCCAGCATGATATTGCTGCAAAATTGCTAAAAGCGGCATAAAACCACTTTAAAAGGACACCGGTGTCTTTAAATCATGAGATCTTCATTACTTCTATAACATTAAGAGCATCTTACAAAATAATCTAGTATTAAGAACTCATATGCAATACATTGATGAATGAGCAGAAATATGTGTTCACAACAAGGTCTGTCTTGGTTAAGTCAGTTATCAAGTACAGATAACACTTGAATTTGCACACCAGTGAAGACCTGGGTTAGAATTGGTCTTCAGCAACCGATGCATGTTGACTAACACCATCAGACTGTCATACTCACTGACTTGTTTGACACATGTCATTGTATCCCAGTTGTGTAGATCAATGTCCATTATGTTGATCACTGAATTGTTTCATCCAGAGTAGACTATTTACAGACTTGCCGTATAGGTGGAATATTGTTAGTGTGGCAACAAACAAACAAACAAATAACAAAAACTTCAAATAGCCAGTCAGCTGTAATCACCTAGTAGGCTCAGATGATATTATATGCTGGTATATATGTCACAGGGATATGAAACCCTTGCTTTGTATGTCCCTTGAAGAGTGGAGAGATTTTAATGTTAATTTATACATGTTGGCTAATTGTTAGTGGTATGTATTTGTCCTCCAAAGGTAATTCTACTTGTGTACAGTCTGTTTGACTTCATTTGAGTCTGATGAATTGCTCAGTAACACAAAATCTAATAAATGCAAACAAACAATCTAAATCTACCAAACGATCATAATTTTGTTGTCACTATTCGCTATTTCTTACGAGGTGTGACCACTTGCAGTTAGAACAGCCAGGTAATCAGTAAGCATGTGCAGTGAAATTGAAATTTCACACAAACAACGTGCACACCTGGCTGTTGTACCAGCAAGTGGTCCTCCCTCGTAACAAACAGCGAATAGTGACAACAAAAAATGATCATTTGTTAAACAACTTTTGTATTCGGGTGTCCAAAATTATGAGACAAATCATCAGAATTGGTCTGTCGATTTCATGTGACTGTGCAAAGTTTGATTTTGTTGCATTTATTAGATTTTGTGTTAGTGAGCAATTCATCAGTCTCAAATGAAGTCAAACCGACTGTTGTGTTAGTTTATGCCAACATGTTACAATAATTGTATTTCTTACATTCCTGAATACTGGTGGTTGTCCATGCTTAAGAATAACATCTGTTGCAACAAGGCAGTCCATCAGGTATACATCATCTCGGTCGCCACATTTCACACTGCAGTATGCATTGAGTATCTGTAAAAATGTTAAGCAATCATTTCACACAATAATACATGTGCTGCATGTTCACAATTTAGCATTGTATATTTGGTTCCCAACTACTTCATAGACCTTCATTAGGCACCTCAACTATGGTCAAATGTGGCATTAAACAACTAGCAAACCGATTAAAAATACATGGTGCTAAAAAATTCAGCTATGTCATCAAAGTTCTTTTGATGTTATATTATAAGGAAAGCCCAGACTGATGTTCCTTGAAAAAGTCCCATCCATAAGGGTGATGCCAAGCCAAGCATAAAAAAATTGTGTTAATCCATGGCCATTGTTTTTTGGTTACATGAACATGAAGATTACCTAACCAAAATAGATATAAATAGGTGTACTATTTGTCAAATAATTATTGCTATCATCAAATTTCAAATAAATTAGTTGTTATGGAAGTACCTCATCTGTAACTTCATGCCCTGGTCTCAGTGCTCCGAAGCTTCTCCCTGTCAGTTTATGTCCATCTACTACAGCCATCACAGCATTTGTGTTTGAGTGTAACTTCCATATGGACTCATAATCCAAAGGTATTGGTAGCTGAAAGCAACATGAACAATAGCTGTCATTTCTGTATAGTTAAAACTTCACATTTAATGATTGTTTTCTTTGGGATAGACTTGGCTCTTCAAACTGCATACCAGAGGTATATTTCTCTCATTCTTGATGTTGGCCACCTTGCCGTTTTGGTAGTGTTAGGCCACACAATGAATTGGGAGGTAATGTTCACTGACTATGATTGTATGTTATCACAACCTGATTGCCTGGAGGATTTTTACATCAAACACAGATGTGTCTTGTCCAGCCTAGATTGTTTTCAGACAACAAAAATAAAACCATACTTCAGTCAAATGTTGTGTTAGCTCATTAACTTACAGGTTCACTGTGTCTCCTGTTAATCGGACGTGTCTCATCTCCTTGGTTCTGGAAAGTGTGGGACAGTTAGTTCATTACAAGTTCATGTTGAAATCCAATGAAAGCATTTCTATATCTCTGAGTCACTATTAACACACATGGTACTATACTTACCTCTTTAGTTGTGTGAGCATCTCTGGTTTGCTTTGCAAAAGTTCTTTTCCTCTTTCTCCCCTCAAATTTTAACACTGGTAAGCCATCTGAATCATCATCTTGCTCCTGCAATATGGGGACATCACAGGAATATACAATTTGCTACTGATCAACCACTTTACAATAAAACCTTTTATTTGGGTCAAGTAATATTTTCTTTTATGTAAAACAAATATATGATCATTTTTGTACATTGTAAGAATGTGTATTTAACATACCACTGTGGTTGTGTTGTCCTCATCTGATTCGCTTGTTAAGTCTATAACTGCAGTCCTTTTCCTCTTTCCTCCCTCAAATGATGCTGCTGACTTTGCCTAAGATGAGAGAATGGGGATTCTAGCTTTACCAGCATATTATGACAAAGATTTATGACTTCGTGGCTCCTTGCTAGTAGTAACAGATTTTAATAAGATGTACCTAAAGTGTAATATATGGATTCCTCCAACAATACCAGACAGAGCTAAGAATGTCTTAATTTATCTTGTTTTCTCTATATACTTACCATGAAACTTGCCATAGCAGGTAGGTCACTATCCTCCTGCAAGTGGTCAATGTCATTTAAGTACATGTATCCATACATTGATTTCAAAAGAAACCATCCACTGATATGGTTGTACATGTCTAAAGGGCATAATTATCACTTTTTTCTTCATAACTGTTTAAAACAAGTGCTATCAACCAGAATGATGTTCCAGCAAAAAAACTTGTCCATAGAAATATTAAATATTGTTGTATGTGTGTGTGTGTCTATATATATGTATATATATATATATATCCATTTAATTTTTTTAGATTACCATAGAAATATTAAATATTGTTGTATGTGTGTGTGTGTCTATATATATATATATATATATATATATATATATATATATATATACCCATTTAATTTTTTTAGATTTTCCAGAAATTATTGAGACAATCTTTTGTTTCTTAATACTGATAATAGAAATTAATGTAGGTCTTACATTCTGTAGTAAGGTGCTCAATATGGGAGGCAACTCTTGTAGGCTTAAGAATGAACCTTACTACATTAAGAGTAATGGTGAAAAAGCGGAATTCCCTCACCATTGATGAAGATGCACGAAATGAAAGATATTTAAACTGGTGTAGGGCCCACGAATCAAGATTGGTAAAATGTTTTATTTTCTGAGGAAAGTATGTCTGACTTTTTCAGAACTGTGTGAAAACATGGACAAAAGATGCCGTGAAACCTATCTAGCAACACCCAAAACATAGCCTAATATTTCACATGTGGGGTGGGATCATCATGGGAAAAGGCACCGTTGTGTATTTTCAATGGAAATTTGAAGAAGGAACGATATGTTCATGAAGAACAGAATAAACCAAAATGGACTTAGAAATATTGAGGATATGAAGAAAGAAGTGGTCAAATATTGGGATACGCTGGCACACGATTTCCTGCAAACTTGATTGTTAGTGTACCTAGGCGCATTCCGCCATGTATTGCAGGGCAAGGAGGTCTCCCAAAGTACTGAAAAGACACCTAGACTGTAAGAGAATCTCAACATATTCATTTAAGAAAATTTCTATAGTTTTTATACATGTATTAGATATTTGCTAAAACTATTTTCTCAATTTCTGGGAATACTATATTTACCACATTTTTTTTCATTTTGGCACAGTTCACAAAACCATAATGTTGATTTCCTCCCTGTTAAGTGTATTTTGTCTTTCTGTTCACCAAACACATTTTCCTGTTTATCTTATCTTGTCAAGTTCATAACAAATTTACCTCTAACAAAACTGATTAGTGATGACATTCAGTACTTTGACTTGAACCATATCTTCCTGCATTTTTGATTGAAGAATGGATTTTTCCTTGTGTTTGTGAAGCGTGCTGTATTTATGCACTGTACAGTGGAAGCCCTCTAAACTGGCATCCCTCCAATCAGCACTAGAATTTGGTCCTGACAGATGCAGTTTAATTTACTATCATTCTCTAAACCGGCACACCCTCTATTCCGGCAATTTTTGTCGGTCCCAACGAGTGCCGGTTTAGAGGGTTTCCACTGCACTTGGATATTATCTCAGTCAGATTGTATCATCACTGTGTGATAGTTAATAATGTAACATTTGATGCTTTAATTCAGAACTGATGTGTACTCTTGGACAGAACAGGTTCCCAGCAGATTCAGTGACTAAGTTAATAGTGCTATAATAATACTGCTAAGTGTGGCGTTAAATCGCAAACGTAGACACATGCACGCTTAACTTACCTCATCTCTTGAAATGCAGGCCTTATCATCTTCTGACACATATACTGCCTGCTGGAATTAACAAAAAATTGTCGTTATTGTAAATAAATACTCAAAGGAACAACCAGTTCTTTTAAGAGTGAGTGAGTGAGTGAGTTTAGTTTTACGCCGCACTCAGTAATATTCCAGCTATATGGCGGTGGTCTGTAAATAATCGAGTCTGGACCAGACAATCCAGTGATCAACAGCATGAGCATCGATCTGCGCAATTGGGAACCGATGACATGTGTCAACCAAGTCAGCGAAACTGACCACCCGATCCCGTTAGTCGCCTCTTACGACAAGATAGTCGCCTTTTTAAGGCAAGCACATGGGTTGCTGAAGACCTATTCTACCCCGGATCTTCACGGGTCAGTTCTTTTAAGAAACCATACATGACAATTCTGTTGCATTAAGATACACCTGGTTTTTTAGTGTATAAAACCAAATTTCGTGAAAGAATGTAATATAATTTTTGTACATTCCAAGTATGTACACTTTACATACCTGTGTGGTTGTGGTGTCCTCATCGGATTCTCTTGTTAAGTCTATTGTGTCTGTCCATTTCCTGTTTCCTCCCTCAAATGCAGCGGTGGTGTTTGTCTAGTATGAAAGGTTCTATCTTTACCTCATGGTATGAGACATTTATGACTTCATAGGTACTTTCCAGTATTACATAGGGATGAAAACATTTTAATTAAATGTACTGAACATATCTATAATAATTATATTCTACAAACAATATGACACTGTGCTAAGATTGATATAATTGATATGTTTTGTTTTCTTTCTTTAAACTTACCATGACACTTGCCATATCAGGTTGATCAAATGCAGATTTTCCCAGCTCCTGCAAGTGGTCAATATTGCTTAAGTTCAAGTGGTCAATGATCAACATAATTCTACAGTAAGCCTATAGTATCAGTTTAGTACCAGAAAGTATAAAGCTTGTTGTAATCAGCTGAAACAAAGTATTTGTTTTTTGTGTCTCTTTATTGTGTTTGTATTTACATTTTTTTTGCATATTCTTCTAAAGGGTTACCTTATTGACAGCTTTTCTAGAAATACTGGAAAGCCATTTTGCCCTGCCTGCAAGTAAAACTGTAACAGTTAATTATTTGCACATTTAATTTCTCCTAGAAGCAATACATACTTCTTTTAATCATTAATGCAGATTTAGATATACTCTTTTATGTTACTTTTCTCATATGTGAATAATCATTCAGTATTTTGTTTACTCACAATACTTACGGAGTGTATGTTTCTTCTTGTTGAGGATATACCTTCTGTGTGCATTGGACTTCAGGAAATTTAAAGCTGTTCTTGGCATCTGTCTGTGTTTTATCCTTTTCCTAAAACAGTTTCTGTTTTGAACAGTTTTCTTTATCTTTTCTAGGGACTGGTTGGCCTCTATCACTGTTTCCGGACAGTTGCACCTTGTCAGCAGATCCCTCAGCTCACACAGCAACCTCACACTTGTTTGTTTCCCTTGGGCAGTGTCAATATCATCTGTATGAGCCTTCAGTGATGTGCCACTTGACTCTGCACCATTCATGTTGCTAGGTGATAGACAATCTTCTGATGAGACTTTTGGAAACTTGACATTAATACCTGTTGGCAATGAGGTCCTGCAATCCTTGCTGACATGTAACATTGGGGTGTCTCTGTATTGCTTGGGTAAGGCTTCCCATGGTAGGTTGTTTTGATATAATGTGGCCAGAATATGCTTACATGGGAAAAAATGTCTTCTAAAGTCATGGCATGAACAGAGATCTTTGGTACCCCTATTAAGAACAACATTGTAATTGTTCACTTGGTAATTTGATTCACCTTTGTGGATGGATTCTGTCTGCATCACCTCATTCAGTCTCCTTTTACAGTGGTCAAAGCATGTCCACCCTCTCCCAGTCAAGAACTCGGGGACAGAATCCTTCAATGCCATCTTCATTCTGTTGTTCTTTTCATAGTAACTGCAATGATAATTGTTATTTCCAGAATATATCTCAAGGTTGTATATTTATCAATACCCAAAGAAAATTTTACTTTTTCCTATGATCTTATTCTGATTTTGTGATATCCATTCAACTGTAAGTTTTATGACAATTAATCTGATATCCTTGAAGGAAGGGTTGTATTTCAGTATCCACTATTTGCAGGTTTGTACTGTTTAAGGGTTTATTCTTTCAAATTGTGCTCAGTTGAAGGTTGTAAGGAGTATTAGGAATGGGAAGGGAGTCTCACTGAAATTCTTCTGAATTTTAGACAACTATGAACAATGACTTAGCTATGTTAAGAAAAAGAACAAAGATAAAATAAATTTCTGGCCACCCACTGCTAATATGTTCAACTCAGCATATAACAATGCCAAAAGAATGAAACCTGCACGTCTGGTGTAGGATTTATTGTGAGCAAACATTTCATTTCAAGCTTACAGTTTAACATTATCCAATTAAACAAAACTTCTGAATTACCTCTGTTGTCTGCTCTTGTGATGTTTCATCAGAATTGCAATCAGCCCTGTTATGCTCATGTCTGTAGAATGTTTCTGCTCACTTTTAAACAGAGAATGGAGCCTCTCCACTCCATTGTTTGTTGTCAGTCCCACATGTTGGTCAAAAGGTCTGAACGCCATGGCCCATGGCTGGAATTGTAATGTTCATAAATAGTGCCATATACAAGCAGTTTCATGTGTTCATGTTATTATGTCCGTACAGAAGAATTCGACATTTATTGTGCAAGATATTGATATAAAAAATACAACATGAACACCATTCTGTGACTGAAACACTTCATTGTGGAGAGAACATTTAGAATCATGTTACAGCCCCAAACCTATTTTGTATCACTTGATTACATTACAGTGCATGTGATTATAATATACGGTACCTTAGGTGAGCACAGCCAGAAGTTGTCCATATACTCCATGAAGTTTGTATAGTGCCCCAATGAGCTCTCAGTTCCTGAACTTGACTGCCATAGTCAGACTCTTCCAGGCAGGACATTATGTTGGACAAGCTGGATAAAACCAATAAAACAATGTAATATCCATAGACGTTAATCTGCAAACAGTTAGGAACACAAACAATGGCAATACATATGTGAGGAAACTAAAGGCTGTACCTAAAGATAAAAGTATGCTTAAATCTCAAAAGTTCTTAATGTCATTCATCCTGAAAATCTTTGAAAATAGGTACAAGTGATCATTTTTCCATTTATATATTTATCATTAATTTATGTCACTGTGTGTATTAGATAAGTCACCTAAAGAACAGTCTATATGATTGGACTATATGTGGTGTTGTCTTGGTATGAACCGTCATATTTAAATGAAAAATGTAAGTCATTATAAAGGAACTAACGATAGAAAACTTATAATATTTTACAAAATATATCATCACAGCTGAATACAGTAGGTGTATTCTTAACACAGCTATTCTTCAAAATGTGAGGTTTAAAACAAAGCATAAGCAGGTACATGTATATCAGCTATAACAAATTTCTGGAATACCATTACAACATTCCCGAACTTGACACATGGAAGCACAGTTACCAACATATGCTGAGATATACGTTGCTTCATTCTTAGCTGCAGCGATGTTAACACAGATCAGTGTTTGATATATTTTGGATAATAAAACTTGTTTTGTGTACATCATTTCAGTTCAGTATTTGTTCTTTATGTTTACAATCTATCTTAATCTTCCATATGAACCAGGCTGTACAGAAATTTGTATTTGATTAAAAGAAATTAATTCTAAATATTACTTTCTGTTCAAAATTGCATATAAAAATCTGGCAAGTTGTTAATTAGTAATGACTTTGATGTATATATAAAGCAAATGTATTTCATTCATACACACATCTAGCTTTGCATGCATTTCAATACAAATTATGTTTAAAGTATATGATGAATTATGTGTCCTCGAGGAGCAGTATTAACATGTAATTCACTTGTTTACCAATCAAGTTTCATGTTTTTTTATTAAATTACATTTAAATAAAAATATTCTGATGTTTTTCTATGGATAAGTTCACTTTTTCTGTGTAGATATTACACCTGTTATGATGTGTTTTGAGATTATTCATAATGTTTGATATCATTTCTCTGTTACACATAATGCAGCACGACACATACTCTGACATCATCGCCTCCTGATCTGTCTTTGATGGTATCCTCTGTAGCCATCTTTTCCAGGCCTGCTTCACATGGAAATGGCAGATGTAAAAACTGCTTTCTGGAAACAGAAATGTTCTGTCTGAAATTATTTCTCTATCATGAAATTCTATTCTCTTTTGTTAAAAAGGTTATTAGTAGAAGTGGGTGGGTGACAAAGTAGACAAATCCTTCAGTAATTCTTAGAGAATGATGGAGATTATGTGTATTATTAAAAACAATAATTACCTGGAAAAATCTTCTTTATGACGTTTTTTTCCCACTGGTCGTCATCAATTATGAATACTTCAGGCTTCCACTCCTTGTGAAAGGAAGCAAATTTCTCCATCCCTCCTGCAGACTATCCGTGGTCTGATCTTCCGTCACAATGAAACCCACGGAACATACACAGAATTTGTGCGTACTGCCAGTTGATACAGAAGAAGGTTGTACTTGTTAGTCTTGTAGGTTGCATCCAATAAAACAGCACTGCCAAACTGTTCAAGCATTGTCTTTGCCACTGTGTTGACATAACAAGTAACGAAGGTGTCGCCTGTGGTATCACTGAAATAGCAAATATCCTTTTTTAAACAAAGTACTTTACATAGGTCATTTTAACAAATGGTGCATGGGAATGGTTTTATTATTGCACATTGGAATTTAAGATTGAAGTAGCGATACCCAAATCCATTTAACAATATGAGGTTTCAGTACATTGTCATGTTAATGAGAAATGTCTGTACTGAGTGATGTTAACAATATTTGAAATGGTGAGTGACACCATACGTTGGCATAAGGTTGTGACAAGCCAACATTTTAACCACTGTGCAACTTGACCGCCACTGTATGAGTAGGATGTGGATATACACCAGTGGTGACTTGTTTAACACGATTACAAATCCTGCGTGATATTATCAGTTTCAATCTTGATACTTTTTCAAATAAATCAACCAGTACTGTTCCGTGCACGCAAGGAGCATTGGTATGAACTTATCGCATCCAAAAGTTTTGCTGAAACACAACATTCATAAACTAGGAAGCAATGAACACAATATCTTTGCGGTTGTCAACAGTTTCACAGGTGTGTTTAAAAGAGCATGGGTATTTGTTTAAACAGGTTATGAATTAGGGTTTTCTTCACCCAACATTAGCATAATTATATTCAAGCGAATACTGCCTCACTTCTTTGGTCGAAACCAGCAGCTGTCTAGACGTGAGTCTGTGTCGTCTCTTTTCAGTTGTTCAAGTAAGTCTGAGATGGATTTCCTACAATTTGATATATGACATGAGAATTGGAGAATTTTGTAAAAGGTTATGACGAAAATAGTATAAAACATTATATTTTTTCACTTTTTTCCCCAAAATTATGGAATATATAAAAAATCTGCGAGGCCTCTCGATCTTTATTCAGTTAGAATGGTATAAGCTACAATCATGCCAAGTTTCATGCTTGTAACACAAAGTGCACAATTCAGTGAAAAAAGTGCACTTATCCGCTGGGCTATGTACAGTCCGATCAATACCAACCCTTCCCTGTGTAGCCCTAGCTGTCGTCCTTTACCGAACAAGCGTCATTGGCCTCAGCAATTTTCGCTATGCCTATGGCGTCGCTTATTTGCTGCTAATAAAACACTTATTTATTTAACGAGGGCATATTTCCCGTAATCACTCGTACCTCGTTGGTTACTCTATTTATTACCCATAATGTAATTTAAAAGGAAGAGCCACGAAATAAAAACCACCCGGAGACAGGACTTGTGACCTTTAACAGCTGATTCGTATTCATGCGCGTATTAAACCTAACTTCTCCAGCGGTAATAACATAACTTCGCTATGGAAATAGTACATAATAAAATCGCCTTAAAATACAACAAAATTGTTATGCCTGGAATAATTAATTAACATATGTTAATATGATAAAAAAATGATCTTTTAAATATATCATTGAACTTTATAAGAGCTAAACATTTATTCGATCAAGTCAGTGCGACGGAACATCGTTCATTCACGACTGACGTGTTTTTCTAGTGACGTGTGACGGTGTAGTGTTGAAACACACTCTGGCAAAAACCTGTCAATTTTTGGAAAGTCAACGGTTAAAAGTTGGGAAATCTAAAGACAACCATCCACGAATACATCTAGAAAAGTTTTCTGTCAAGAAACTCAACAAGTTTGAAGATAAAACAACATTTTGTTGTTGTGGAAGGCGTGTTACACTCTCGTCTCAGTAGAGTACAGCAGTTCCAAGAAGGATAACTCTAGTCGGAATCAGAGTCTATGAAATGTGTCAATCTCTGCATCGGTTATTGGGACTAACCTCTCAGATTGATTAGGAATGCATATAAAAAAGTCATCTTGAAGAAGAACATTTAGCACTGATTCCGGTAAGAAACTAGCTGTTTTCAGGTTCAGAAGGCATGGACGCCGTGTCCGACTTACTTGTCACCTTCAGATAACATCTTTCGTCGGTATCTTGCTGTTTCTATTTCCCCGAATTCAGTTTCAACAACAAACAGGTTTTGGGAATTCAAGGGCTGTAAAATTCTTATCACTCTACCTATTTGGTCACCGTCAACTTTAACTAGGTAAGTGATCGGGGTTAGCCTAACGGCGGCCATGTTTGTTTTCAAACAATGCAAACGATTGTTTGGTGGGGTTTTTAAAGATTATATAATTTAGAAAGACTACTATTTATAACGCAGTTTTATTCCAAAATAATAACGTCTAATAAAAAGAATATTCATATTCTTTAACCTTAATGTCTTCTTTTTTAGATCTCGGAATGTGTGATTACTTAATGTCAATTTATCAATGAATCGATGAAACTTTATGAATGAACGTAGTGTGTGAAAGAAGTTCCGGCATCCAATGAAAATGTACAAATATACGATCAACCAATCAACGTCGAGAATCACTAAATTGCACATTGTGCAAATATCAAAAAGATATTACACGGGATCTCCTCACCCGTATGGGTAATAAACGTTAATAATTCATCCGTGTGGTTGATGAACCGTCAAAACAAACACAAAACACGATAATTATGCGTGTCTCCATTCACTATTCGTAGGTGTTAGAATTTAACTTGTTCTGTGTAGATAAATAAACATTAACTTTGGAAACGTGCCCTGCTGAAAAACACGGTGATTGTTTCATCAAGGAATGGGTTTTATTGTCCAAGCTTTCGCATTCTCCCAAGCCAAATATTAATAAATGAGACAACTCCAAACATTAGTCCGGGGAACAACTTAATTTTACATCAAGAACGTGTTTGTTGAGTCATGTCGATAGATGTTTGAAATATTCGACCGTGACCT